GCAGCCCAATGTGGAGGTCCGAGGCAGGCAGCAGCTGCAGAGAACATGGGTCTCACAGGCTTATAACTGGACATCACTATCGTTGCACAGCGGCGACGCATTCAATAGAGGGGCATCCGACTTCAGCTCAGGTCATGATCTCAGGGTTCATGGGTTCAAGTCCTGCGTCAGGCTCTGCACTGACAAGGCAGAGTCTGCTTGCTTCTCTCTCTCTCCCTCTCTCTGCCCCTCCCCTGCTTGCTCTCTCTCTCTCAAAATAAATACACTTAAAAAACAAAAACATTCGCTAGAGGCCTGGCTTTCTATAGCTTGGGAGGAAGACTCTGCATCTGTTAGAAGCTATAATTATAATTTAAAAAAACTCTGAAGACTCACAATGTCAGTGTTTGTCAGTCCTTCCTGACACTCTCAGCAAAGTTCACTGAAACAGAAATAATCTCCGCTAGAGCTAACTGATCTCAAAGGATGGAAAAGAGAACAGATCTGATAAGAGGGGCTCTTGGTTGGCGACCAGCAGTCAATGATGGAGTCTATGGGGCTGTCCCACCAGCCCCAAGAGGTGCTAAGACAGATGTTTCTGCAAAGATAGCCTGGAGCCTTGTGCCAAAGGTATTATCGAGAGCCTGGCCTTTCTTTGACCCAAGCCACTGTTTCATCCAGCCAAGGGAGCCGCCATCCAACTGGGAGAGAAGGGGATGGGCTGGGATTCAAGGCCTTTGAAAGACCAGAGGTTTTAGACTGAAACATTCTGTCCTGATAAGATCTTAGCCACATGGACCCATCAGAGGCCCACTAAACTCTTAAGAAACTTCTATCTCCATGGAAGTCATAAGGCTGACCTAGAAAAAGTTGTGATTGTTCACCCTCAAAACAATACCCAGATTCCAAACCCTCAGGGGCAGTGGATGTCATGTGCCCATCCCTCTGATGCACATCTCAGAAGTGGCACAGTTAAGACCTCCCGTAAGGGTGCCTGGGTGGCTCAATCGGTTAAACAGCCGACTTCGGCTCAAGTCATGATCTCATGGTTCGTGGGTTCAAGCCCTGCGTTGGGCTCTGTGCTGACAGCTCAGAGCCTGGAGCCTGCTTCAGATTCTGTGCCTCCCTCTCCCCTGCTCATGCTGTCTCTCTCTCTCTCTTTCTCTCTCTCTCTCTCTCAGAAATAAGTAAAACATTAAAAAAAAACTTTAAAAAAAGTTTCATACTAATCTCTTTCCTTATTTAAAAAAAAAAAAAAAAAAAAAAAAAAAGACCTCCCCAAAAGGCAAAGCCATGACCACATGGACACCAGGCAAAGATGCCTTCCTAGAGAACAGAACCAGGGCTGTCAGACGCACGGCTATGTTTGTGATTTTGTTTTGTTTTGTTTTTTAGTTTTTTTGGTTTTTTTGTTTTTGTTCTTTTTTTTGAGAGAGAGAGAAACAAAGAGTGTGTGAACGGGGGAGGGGCAGAAAAAGAGGGAGAGAGACAGAATCCCAAGCAGGCTCCACGTTTAATGTGGGACTCGAACTCACAAAACTGGGAGATTATGACCTGAGCTGAGATCAAGCTTAGTCAACTGAGCCATCCAGGTGCCCTTGAGGACACATCTGTTTAACCAGCGACTGCCAGACCTCAGACCTCAGTGAGCCATGTCCAGCCCTGAGAGAGAAGATTCTGTCCCCAGAGATCCGGAATCTGCTCGAGAGGAAGTAAACAAGTAGATTCGCAGGGCTAGCTTCCTGGAGGAGGAGGCGAGAGTTTGGAAACGGGGGGGGAGGGGATGCAACACAGATATTTGGGATTGGGGCAGAAATTACTGGCTGTTCCCCACTGTGTACTTCCCCGCTCCTTTCTTGAGAAGAGAACTCTCAATTTTTAGCTGCTGTAAGTCCCAGTGGGTAGCAGTGGGGGGGCACAGAAAAAGGATTTGAGAAACTTTCTAATAAAGATCTGTTATCTAATTTACATTTTACTTCCATTCCAGACTACTAGGAAAGAGCCACAGAAGTAACCGATGTAAAGAAACATGCATGGAGTTCAAACCCAGGCCACAGTTCTGAAAAGTCTTCTTGCCGTGGACTTACAGACGTGATCAGTCCACAGGAACAATTCACATACAGTAACTGGTGATACGTAGCTTCCTACACGCTGGTGGGACACTAGAGTTTGACTCTGGTGACCCTAGGCACTAAAAGATGACGTATGAAATTGGTGGATACATGTAACATACACGAAAGCAGTGTCTGGAAGATAAAAGGTCTTGATACATGTTGGCTGGTATTATTGCTATTATTATCACAACCACAGACTGTGCTTCCGTGAGGAAGGCCCATGTGGGACCCAACAGAATCTTAGCTACAGAAATGGTCTTGGTCTTACTCTTAGAGAGTGATAAGCCATATATTCCATGTACCTATCTCATGGTCCCTTTGTGCTCAGCTGTGAGTTTTGGGCATCAAGGTGACCGCTTCAAGGTCCTTCTAAAAAAGAATACAGCCCATCCACCCCACCCCCAGGAACTTCTCACCAGCCTTGCTGACCTCACGAAGCTGTAATGAGTAACTTTATCTCTTAGCCTTAGGAAGGAACCCACATGAGCAGTGGAAGAAGACATCTGTAGGTTACATTGAGCGGCCACTATTTATTCAATCAATATCTGCTCTGTGCCAGGTGGAGGGATTAATCATTAATCATCAAAGCCATTTCATTTTCTGTGCTCTACAGAGACCAGACAAGAAGCAAAACAAAGAAGCTTCCCAAATGCCCTCGGAAAAGCCAAAATATTTTTTCCCTTTCATAAAAATAAAAACTCTTTATCTTACAGAAGGTTCTGACTCCATTAGTGTTGAACTCACTACACATTTTTAGACCTGAGTTGCTTAAGACAGAATGAAAAACAAAGTTCAATATCAAAAAGGAACTCACCAACATCCAAGGGCACTAAAGCAATGTATTTACATGGCATTTTCCCCCCATCCTAAAACATGTGCTCACAAGTGTGTAAGGAAACCCAACCATCTGATTACATGGGAGACTCAGTCCATCTACTCGAAAGGGCTCACGGCCATCTTAGTAATAATATACTGCCCACTATACAAGCTCAGAGGCCGTAACTCCACTGGTTCAAGATCATCCCAACATAAAATATTCTTTGCTGACTATCCATCAAAAATGGACAAGACAGGGGCACCTGGGTGGCTCAGTCGGTTGAGCGTCTGACTTTGGCTCAGGTCATGATCTCACAGTTCGTGGGTTCAAGCCCCACATTGGGCTCTGTGCTGACAGCTAGCTCAGAGCCTGGAGCGTGTTTCGGATTCTGTGTCTCCCTCTCTCTCTGACCCTCCCGGCTCACACTTTCTCTCTCAGAAATATTTTTTAAAAAAATTAAAAAAAAAAAATGGACAAGACATGCCAATGTTTTCCTTTTTAAATTTAATCTCCCCAAATCTTATGTTAAATGCCATGTCTGATTTTTTATTTGGAAAATATAATAATAGGTCACCTTTTCAGTATAAATCATGTTCTCTTGAGCGACAAAGGATTATCACAGAATTCACATGAGCAAGTAATGCTTGTTCCGTATACAAACACAGGCTTTTCCCTGCTCATCCAAGAAGAGGGCACTGGGAAGGAGGGAAAGCCAGGAGAGGGGGGTAACACTGACAAATAAAAGTACCCGTGACAACATAAGAACCATTCATGACCGTGGCTCATAGTGCCCTTCCTATGACACTCACCTCGCTCTACCAATTCCACTATACTGATGCTTTCTCTACATACTATACCCACATAGAACTGCCAGTTCCATGAGAATGGAGTAGGGTTGAGTAGGACAGTCTGGAAAATACTACGGTATCACATCATTTCAACATATCATATCAACATGTTATGGAATTCCAGAAGTTATTAAGAAAGCCCCAAATATTTCCCCGCGTTGAATTCTGCATCTACTTGCACAGTCCCATGAGAGAAAATGCCTAGAAACTGTGAATCCAGTGGTTCTTTTGGGGTCTTAACATTCCTGAAATTTCAGTCTCATGTCGAGGAAAGATGCCTTTCTTATTCACTCCCTCTATAAGCCTACTTTTTAAACTATCTCAATAGAAGAGTACTGATTAATACTAATTTAAGAGTTACAAAAAAATCCTTTCATCTCTTTGCCATTTTTTAACCTTTAACCAACATCCATGGAACATGAGCAAAGGGGAGAAAAAACAAAGAGAGAAGCAAACCGAGAAACAGACCTTTAACTGTCGAGAGCACGTGACGGTCACCAGAAGGTGGGGGGTGGGGGTGGGGGGGATAGGTGATGGGGATGAGGATGCACTTGTCGTGAGAAGCACAGAGTATTGTGCAGAAGTGTTGAATCACTATATTGTACACCTGAAACTAATATTTCACTATTAACTGGAATATAAATTAAAGGAATTTTTTAAAAGTCTACGAAACAGAAGAAATAAGGAAAACTCAGTAAGAATAAATCTTGAACATCTGAACAAGATGACAGAGCACCTACAAAGTGTGTTGGACAGGACATACCAAACAAGTTTCCAAAAGTAAGAAATCTCCACTTCATTTCCACCTAACACGGCGTACGTGTCATTCAGATTTCCTATTCTAGTGCTCCCGCAAAACATTTTCAACTAAATGTTTAACACTGGTTATAACAATACAAAAATCAAATGATGGCCTGAGTAATACTGTCACCCGTTAAAGATATTTTTTCATCAAATTCTTTGGCCACGGATCATCTGAAAAGCCTGATACTGAAGGAAGTGGGTCACAATACACAAAATCGCCCTGCTTTAAAATACATATCTGTGATCAAGGAAATCATTATTTAATTTCTCTCCCTCTGCATTACCTCGGACAGGGCAAAGGTATTCCCAACCTTGCTAATGGGCTTGTTGAGAGCTCTCCTTCGACGTCTCTGCCCCTTCTCCCCAGCACTGGTTAGACAGAACAGTCAATGTAACTGGACGACTCTGAACGGGTGTGCAAGTCTGGTCACAACTCACCCATCCAGAAGATTCATCGTGGTGGGCGTCACTTCGGCAAACAGGACTACTTTTCCAAGTCGCTGTGTCTGCAGATTTTGTCGGTAGATCTCTAAGTTAAAATGCTCTGATAAGAAGGACTCCACGTCAGTCACCACAGGTAGAGAAGATGGGGTGATTTCTATGTCAGACGTGTAGGAGGAAAGAAACTTAAGGGAGAGCTTGCTGGACTTGATTACTCCTTCAGGATCCACATGTTTCCCCAGCCACTGCATAAGAGGGTCCCAGATTTCCTGTGGTATAAGGAAAGAAATGAAAAGGTCGTAATTTGGCATTACATTAGGTGAGGGTAGCCTTTCCTTAAAATGCCACTTTGGTAATAGAAATACTTCCTAATTCATGACCAATAAGAGCTAAAGGAACATATTTCAAACTTCTGCGCTATCATACAATCGACAAAAAGTATACGAAGTATGCTTATGCTATAAAGTTACAGTTGAGTCTTGAACAATGTGGGTTATGAACCACATGGGTCCCACCCATATGCAGGCTTTTTTTGGTAAATACAATACAGAGCTGGGGCGCCTGGCTGCCTCTGTTGGAAGAACATGTGACTCAATCTCAGGGTCGTGAATTCGAGCCCCATGTTGGGTGCAGAGATTATGTAAATAAATAAAACTTTGAAAAAAAATAATACAGTAGAGTGCTGTAAATATATTTTCCCTTCCTTATGATTTCCTTAATACCTCTCCTTTTCCCTAGCTTGTTCTAAGGATACTGTATATAATACATGTACTACACAAAATACATGTTGGTCAACCGTTTAGGGGATGGGTAAGGCTTCTAGTCAACAGTAGGGTATAGTAGTTAAGTTTTGGGGGAGCCAAAAGTTATATGCTGTGGATTTTTTACCATACTGGGGGGGGGGCGGGTGGCTCCCCTAAGCTCCACGTCATTCAAGGGTAAACTGAACACTGTTTAGAAATAAACACAGCTCATTATTAAACTTTCTATCCTACATTACATCCTAAGTCCTTAAAAGTCTTCTCCAGCTCTAGAATTCATTAGTAATCCTACAGTCCATACATTCTGCAGAAAATTTACAGTTTTACACTTTTGTCCCCCAAGGAAATTCATTGTTCAAGCTGGGGAAATTCTGTAAAGAGGCAGGTGAAAGCAGTCACGGAAGACAAAGCACAAAGACAGCGGCTTCCGCTCTCTGCTTCCAGAGCACCTTCACCTCCTGTCCTAGACGAGCTGACCACTACCAGCCGCTGACAGGTCACCCGCAGGGGGGACATGACTTTCACATAGGAAAATAATCGGAAACCCAACAGCGGCTTTTCCCATGTGGGGGGGGGGGCGGGGAGGGGGGAGTAGAGCCTACCAGAAACCCTGCCTAACCCAGAACAAAGCTCTCGATTCTACCCCTGAAACAAGAAGCCTCCTAGAAGCCGCAGCTTCCTGTTGGGCCCTGGAGGACCCAGAGGCCTCCCTCCACGGTGGGGCACCACGGACCTACGGGGCCAAGGGAGTCATCACCCCAAGAGGCCAACACCAAATGTGTTAAAATCGGTCACAGTAAACACCGACGCAGGCTCTTGGCCACCTTCATGCAAATGCTAGGCCTTTCAAAAGAGGAAAGGTAAACCCTCTGTTAACACGAGGGTATGTCCCAAAGGTACACATGGCCACAGGGAAGAAGTAGCTTCAAAGATGAAATTTTATTCAACTCAATTCAATTAATGGACCATTAAAACTCACTTCAGCTTACAAAAAGTACAGAGGATAAGGGAACCAGTTCAATAACTTCGGAAGGAAGGAAATCAAAAGAAATCCAGACGGTGAGACATTTCACAAAACAAGAATCTGCAGGTCAGTGTCACAGAGGACAAAAAGGCAAGAGAGGGGGTGAGAGAAGAGGGGGAGACCCCGCCTGGAGGAGGAGAGACATAGAAGGTAGAATCAAATACAGCAGCTGCCCGCAAGGGGGCCCACAGGAGGGGACCAAGGTGGGACCGGGCACGAGCCATCCGAGTGTAACCCTGGAGCTGCCAGCCCAAAAAAGGGCTGGAGGAGTTAGGTTGGGGTCAGGGCTTGAGACCAGCCCTTGTGTGAACCCTTGGCCCCAACCCGCTCACCCTGGAGAAGACCTGGGAAGGAACCCTGGCCTTATCAAACTACACAAGGTCTGGGCACCCCAGAGCATCTCCAAGATGACGGCTTCATCACAGAACCGTATCTACCTCACTGCTGACACACTTGCCTTGGGCCTACAGGACGGAAGTTTTACCAGGGGCAATGACATCTTCATCAAGGGTAAGAAATGAGCCTGGAGACCAGGAACGCCATCCCCAGAGAAGAAGTGGACCTGTGTGTCTCCTGGAGTGTGCGGAAGCCAGCTTGGGGTCCAGGACACGCCCCCTGCGACACCCAGTGTCATGCGAGGGTCCCTTCTGTGTCTGTGCTCCCAACCCTTCTTGGATGAACAAAGCCTGACCAGTATTCAGGGGAATGGCTTTTCTCCTTCCTGTTTCGGCCAGAGGTGTTGGGACCGTGTGACTTCTGAGTGATTTCCTATAGTGTCGGTTCCTCCCTCCAGGATGGAGGGCGGAGGGGCGCAATAGCCACCATTCCAGGAATTCTCAATGAATTTTTATTACTTAAAAAAAAAATGGGGTGGCTGGGTGGCTCAGTTGGTTAGGGGTCAGACTCTTGATTTCGTTGGATCTCTGACCAGACTCTTGATTTCGGCTTAGGTCATGATCTCCCAGATGGTGGGATCAAGCCCCGCAGTGGGCTCTGCATTGGGTGTGGAGCCTGCTTGGGATTCTCTGCCTCTCCCTCCACCTCCCTCCCACTTATGCTTCCACTCTCATGTGTGCACGCGCGCTCTCGCTCTTCTCAAAAAAAAAAAAAAAGAAAAAGAAAAAGATATGATCAAATACAATGAATGGTTCTTCACCAGCTTCTGGTTTGAAAATCAAGCTGGAAGAGACATTGTGAGACAATGAGGAAATTTGAATATGGACCATACGTATCAAATAACAAAGATTCACTGTCAGGTTCAGAAGGCATGATAACGGTACGTCCTTAATGTTAGAAACCTGCACGCGTCACAATGTCTGTAATTTACCCCCAAACTAGATGAAACAAAGAAGGAAAATGCTAATAAGTGTTAATTTTAGACCATGAATATTGGAGGAATTTGTTACACTACCCTCTCTATTCTCCAGGTTTTAAAACTATCATGATTAAAAGTAAAAAAGAAAACAAACAGACACAGACAAAAATGATAAAATAAACTGTAACTATTATAAAAATACACATTCCACTAAAGCGTTTTGTCAATCCATTCATCCAACAAATATTATGATCTTATGAGTGCCTACCATATGGCAGACATTCTCTGAGGTTCTGAGATTTGGCCGTGAATCAAGGGGCCAAATCTCCCATCCTCATAAGGTTTATATTCTAGAAAAGAATCAGTTAATTTTTAAAAATCCATCAGCACAAGACACAGAATGTTAGATAGTCCTAAGTGTCAAGGAGAGAAGAGATAAAAAGTGTTGGAGGTAAGACACTGTAGGAAGGGCATACATGAGAGGGACTCAAGGGAGGGAGGAATTATATTATTGTTTACAATGCATACATCGTATTATTAATTATATACAATGTACACATTATATTAATTATACACAATGTATATATTATGCTAATTGTATATTATTAACATATACGATCACTCTTATTTTTTCTTATTTTTTAATTTTTATTTTTGAGAGAGAGACACACAGAGTGTGAGCAGGCAAGGGGCAAAGAGAGGGGGAGATGCAGACTCTGAAGCAGGCTCCAGGCTCTGAGCTGTCAGCACAGAGCCCCACGCAGGCCTCGAACTCATGACCTGAGAGATCATGACCTGAGCTGAAGTCAGATGCTTAACCAACTGAGCCACCCAGGGGCCCTGCTCTCCGTCACTTATACAGAGGATTCCAAGGAGAAGCAGAGGCCCCGAGGGAGCGCGAGTGGGGAGGGAAGTCCAGGGACGCAGAGCGAGCCAGGAGGAAGGCAAGGGGCCCAGAGGGCGAGGGACAGCTGCACGCACACCGTGTAGGGCCTTCAGGGGCACAGTGGGGCCTGGGGCCAACGAGGAGCCCTCGGGGGCTTTGAGGAAGGGAGCGTGGTGACCTACTCGGCACAGCCACAGCAGGCTCACTCGCTGGACAACCTGCACCGAGGGCGGACTGAGGGGCGCAAACCGGAGGAAGCAGACACCCGTCAGGAGGCCCCCGAGGTTCCTGGGAGGGCGGCGATAATGCCTGGACAGGTGTGACAGTGGGCATGGGAGAAGGGACTCTGGGGTAGCGGCTGTACGACTGGCGGACAGATCACATTTAGAGGAAATGGGGAGTCAAAAGGAGCCCAAGCAACCAATTCAGCCAACTTTATTTGCAAAGCAAGCAAACGCAGGCTTACTTCTCCAAGATTTCCGGCCTGCGCACCGGGAGGGACAGAGGTGCCATTGAGAACAGCAAGGGCGGGAAGGGACAGGTTTGGAGCCAGCTCCGGGTACGGCACGTGTGAGACATGCGCCAGGAAATGCATGGAGGCGGCATTAAGCACTGGGACACGTGTGTCAGGGAGCTAGGGGACAGGGCCACCCTGAGGACATAACCTTGGGAAACTCCAGGCTGTGGATGCTAATTTGAAGCCAGAAGACAGGCTGAGCAGTGAGCGACTGACTGGATGAACAGAGTGGCTGCACTGGTGCCCTGAGGCTGCCGTTGCAAAGGGTCACAAAGTGTCACAAATCGGGGGCTCCGCAGAAACGTATTCTCTCCGAGCGCTGGAGGCTGGACGTCCACAATCAAGGTGTCGGCAGGGCCACACTCCCTCTGCAAGCTCTAGGGGAGAATCCATTCTAGGCTTCTCTCCCAGCCACTGGTGTCGCTGGCGATCCATGGCTCCCTTCCACGTGCCCAACTCTCTTCTCGTCTTGTTATAAGGACACTAGCCGCACTGCATTAGGGCCAGCCGCAGTGCCCTTCTTAACCAGATTGCATCTGCAAAGACCTTATTTGTGTCCAAATAAGGTCACATTCATAGGTTCTGGAGATTAGGACTTCAGTGTACCTTTTGGGGGGGGACAAAACTCAACCCACGACAGGGGTCAGTGCTTAGATATCAGGGAGAGGAGAAGGCAAAGGAAAACCAAGTGTGTGTGTGCGTGTGCGTGTGAAGGGCGGAGGGCGAGTGCCCCGTGAGTTCTGGGGCCCAGTTTCACAGGTGGCGA